CAGGCCAGAGGTGGGGTGAGGGGACCCCCAGAGACAGAGTGGGCAGCAGGACACAGGCGGGGTCTGCTGCCCTCGGGCCCCTGCCTGGCCGGGCGTGAGCTGGTGATGTGGCGGCTGTGGGCGGCCTCATGGTCGGCCGGACCCCGCGCCCGGCGCCGGGGGCCTCTGCATTGCGTGACTCGGGTGCGCGTCCCTGACACAGCTCCTCCCGCTCCGTCCGCATGCACCGGGCCGTGCGCCAGCGGCCCAGCCTCAATCTCTGCCCTGTCCCCAGGCTGCCCCTGCACCTGGCCTCGCTCTTCGTCAGCCTGGTCTTCCTGCTGGTGAACCTGACCTGTGCGGTGCTGGTGAAGACGGGGACGTGGGAGCGGAAGGTCATCGTGTCCGTGCGGGTGGCCATCAACGACACCCTGTTCGTGCTGTGCGCCGTCTCGCTGTCCATCTGCCTGTACAAGATCTCCAAGATGTCCCTGGCCAACATCTACCTGGAGTCTAAGGTGGGGCTCTCGTGCCGTCCAGCTTTCTGAAAGCAGCTGCCCGTGACGGGCCCGGCTGTGGTGGCCACATGAGCCGAGTCCCCGAGCCCACGTGTGGGGGCCCCTCTGGAGCTGGGAGGTGCTGGTGAGGCCTCCAGCCACGGCGCGGATGTCTCTGGGACACGGGCAGTGACCACGCTGGTCAGACAGCGGTAGGAGCCTGACGCTGGTGGGGTGCGGGGGCGCCAGGAGCCCCCGGGCCTTTCCCCCCCAGGGGCCTCAGCACACGTGGGGGTCCCCCGCCCCTGGGGACACAGACCTGGCCGAGCCCCAAGGGGCCCCCTGGCTGGCACAGGCCTCGGGGTGGTGGTGGGAGACGGGCAGATGGGCCGAGGGGGGAACTCCCGGACCCCACTGTTTAGGGCCACGCCCACACCCTACTCTTGTCCTTTCCGGGGTGATGCCCTGGGCAATGGGCGCCCCTGCCCTCCCTGCGGGAGCCCCTCCTCCCTTCACCGGGCGCAAGTGTGGGGCTGCGGGTCGCCCGCCTGGCAGAGCTCGCCCCGCTGGCCTCGGGGCGCCCCTGAGGCCCCGCCCTGCAGAGTGGTCCAGTCGGGCTGTGCTGCTGCC